CTGCTTCCTGCAGATGAACCAGACAGAGGCAGCAGCTGCTGTTTCATTAAGACACTGAGCTCTGCTTATATTTCCCTTATTTAAGTGTATGACACTATGAAGACAGCCTGTGTCTGCTGTCACAGGCCCGTTCATCTCCTCCTGTGTGTTTGTTATGCAACTGCAATGCTGTGTGCACTCACAGGCCTGAGTGCTCAGGACTGAAGTCTGCTCAGACTATCCTTGAACCTTGCTCCCTTTAATGAATCCACCCCATTTTTAGAGCTGAAGTGAAAATGAAGACGAGCTTTTTTCCCCGTGCTTTCGCCTCTAAAGTCAGAGTTCACCTGTTTCATCCTCAGACCGACCTGTTGGATATTTAAACTCTGGATCTTCTGTTTGACCCTTTGAACTGGGGTGCATGGGTTGTCTCTGACCTCTGCTGAATGCAGCCGTGGCAGGTGACCTTTTGGAGGCTGAACTCAGACCTTTACTGCAGGGAGACCTGACTGACCTTTGCCAAACTAATAATAACGGGCAGTGTTTAATATAGACTCCATAACCCCAAAGATATAGTTACAATGTGAATGTCAGTGTCTTAACTTTACTGTACTCTTCTTGACTGCTGCAGACTGTACCTCATATTGAACCAGTGCTTCCTGTGGTTTTTATTTTATATATATATATATTTTTTTTAGTTCCCAGTCATTCACTTTGAATTTTGCTCACTGGCCCATTAAGCTCTCAGATTATTGATTTTTAAAGATGGATTCAGTTCAGCCTCTTAGTTGCAGTAGTGCTGTGTGGGGAAAAAAAAAAAGTGTTCTTGTGTTTGGCATGGCTCAGATTAGCTGAACTGTAGACGCGCATATATAAAAGCACGTCAAACTAATCACTGAGGATGCTTTGATAGTCTAATTACCACTGTTGCTTTTTTCTGTGCCTTTTCCTCATCACAAAAGGCCCATTAATAGCCACTGCCTCTCTGAGGTACCACAAGGAGGTTTCAAACTCTGCTTGATGGATGTCAGGTGGTCATAAATATTCTAATATTGGGTTTTAAGAGTAACTGGATTAACTAACTGTAACCTAAGTGTTTTTCTTTTTCCTCCTTTAACAGAGGTGGTGTGCGGCGCTCCATCGATCTACTTGGACTTTGTCAGGTCCAAACTGGACTCCAAGTTCGGTGTGGCCGCTCAGAACTGCTACAAAGTTCCCAAGGGTGCCTTCACTGGGGAGATCAGGTATTTAATTCAGGTTATTTTTCCTAATTCCTGATTTCACACTCTCAAAATACAGTTAGGAATCTTACAAGGAGTTCTAGTGTCCCTACCTTAAAATTTAAAGCACTTTAAGCCAACTGTTGCTGTGAATTGTTGCTATATAAATAAATTAATCCAGGGGTGATTTTAGGGGAATCCCAGAGTGTTGCCAAAGTGACCCCCCCCACCTCTTTTTCACTCTTAACTGGGTTGATTCATTTAACAGTAGAGCACGTGTCAAGGTGAGGACAATCAAATCAATCTAGAATAATGTTCTGAGAGTTACCTCCTACAAATTAACATCAAAGTTTCTTATCCACACTTCCTACAGGGTTGCTGTCAGACAATATTTTCATTAAGTCTAATATTTGTCCATTCATCAAAACTAACTTTACATCTTGCCCCTATCAGTTGTTTTATATTTAACAAGTACATGGGGGCTTCTCTTTATGAGAAACCTACGAGAGAAATATCTAAGCGCAAAGAGTCCTGCCTGATGACACAAGCCTCTCAGCACTAGGACACCGGGTACAGACACTGTTGTAACGGTGTGCTCCTGTAGTTCCAAACATAACGTCAGAAATAAACAAAACATATAAAAATAAACTGCTTATGTGTATGGGTGTATACATATATATGTGTATATACTTATACAGTCAAAATGCCGACTAAAAGCACTTGATGGTTATACTTTGGTTTAATAAGTGCAGTTTTACCAATCACAATGTTTCTTTACAAGGAGTGGGTGGGGCCTAGACTGGTAAAGCCAAACAAGACAGATTGCAGTTTTTCTAATGGGCAGCAGAGGGCGACTCTTCCTGAAGTCTGAGAAAGTGATGCTTCCTTTGGGACCGCAAACATTTTCCTAATGAATTATTGGTCTTGTTCACTAATTTTAAGTCTTATCTCACTTTTGTAAATTATAGCCACATTGACATGGAATTGGATGATGAA